TTTCGCCACATGAGATGGGATAATTATCGAAAATTTTGAGTTGCATCCCATGGTACTTAGGGCAATCCAAAAGTAGTGAGAGTGGTACTTTAGTTTCTTATAAAAAGGTTAAAGAAACTTTCTCTCAATATAGTTAGATAGAGAGAAGAATGTTCTATTTTACTGTGCTATTTGATCATATTTCAACTAATATCATAATAATAGAATTTCGATAAGATCTATTTCGTTATCATATGTGCCAGTTGTATTAAGACTAATTATAAAAAATACGAGTATTTTTTTGAATAACTTTTGATAGAAACAAGATAAAGGATTGCGGTTTTCACCGTTGGAAAAAGGAAATGAAGACGCATCAAATCGTATATTCCAGGATTTCCTGATATGGTTTTTGTAAGGTTTTCAATTGACCTCTTTAGGAACGAATCTATCTGGTAAGTTGTTTACAGTGAAAATTCAATCATTATATATAAATTCAATCCATTAGACGAAGATCTACAAAGTGTGAAAGGTTGAGATGAATAATATGTATTCTAGTCGAACTTCTAATACGACTTTCTAGCAAAATCTGAGGAAAAAGCTCACTTTTATGCTTTTTCCTTTTTTCATTAAAAAAACGGCATTTTCCCGACAGGTAGAAAATTGAATAAAAATACTTCAGAGATTAATATTAGAAAAATCTACGATAAACGATTCGATGCATCTTCAGATCCTCTTTCCAACAGTGAAAACTGCACTTCTCTATCTTGTTTACATCACAAATTATTCAAAAAGTACTCATTAGCATTCATGGAACCGTGATACATACGAACAAAACACATATTATCGAAATTTTATTATTATGAGATTAGTTGAAATATGATCAAATATTATAGTAAAATAGAGCATTCTTTTCGTGATCAGACTATATTGTGGGAAAGTTTTTCTAAGTTTGTTATAAGAAACAAAAGTACCACTTTCACTACTTTTGCATTGTCCTAAGTACTTTACATTCGTCCATTGTCTCTTAAAAAAAGATAACGTGTGCGTAATTCAAACCACAAGTAAATCTAATTCTGGAATACTTTTTTATGGTTAGATAGAGCTCAACGAGTTCTACAAGAATATGTATATTAATAAAATTTTAAAATCTTTTCTTTCAAACAAACTTAACAGAAAACTATTTAAAAGGTTGCAAGAAATTGAACCATGTTTTAATAAAAAAAATCACATTATTTTTCCAAGCAAGAACTACAGTATCTTTATCAAAATGGTTGCATCGTTTTTAATAAAAAAAAAATAGCTTGATGTAAAAGCTGTTTGTCATATGTGATGAGATATTTTTCAAAAATATTTTATCCCTTGGGATTGAACGATTCTCAAAATTTTCCATTCCNGAGTTATAGGCATTTTATTGGAGTTTTAGTCTTAGGCATGCTATACCAACTAATCTAATGATAGTATTTCGATCTAAGATTTTGCCCACAAACAGATCTATTGGTGAGTAGAATGATCTGAAAATTTCAGCTCAAAAGAATGTTTCTTTCATGCGATATGGATGATTTTAGAAACTTTTATATGCATAGAGTCCGAACTCAAAAGCGATTGGGCAATTGAAAACGTTCCTTCGTCAGTTAATAATGATCGGTAGCTTCTCAAATATTTTTTCTCAAATCTGAATAAATACAAAGTAATTATCTGTGCAAAAAGTAGTAAAAGTGAAATAAACATTGAACAAATGGGTCACCTCTTTTTAGAGTGATTGCGAAATTTTTGTAAAAAAATTTCAATGATTACACATAGAATAGTTTTCCATATTTTTAATCATTCATAATACACATTAGGCATGTACCAATATCGAAATGAAAAGCTAAAACATTTGAGATTTGGATAGTTTTAGTTTTGGTCTTCTCATGTTCTTCTCAAGCAGTGCTAAATCAGCAATTACTTCGAGAAAATGATATTTTCGCTTCTCTAGTTATATTGTACGAAGCATGATAAACGAATTGAATTACTCTACGACAATAAGCAGTAGGCTAATTCAAGAGCAGGTCCAAAATCCAAAAATTTTGGTATTGGTACATGCCTAATACACATTTAAGTTTATTAACAAGTAAGAATATACTTAACTCAAATTCAAATATCAACTGTGTGTAAAAACAAAACTGGCTTTTCTCTTTCTAATATTTCTTCCACGACTTGTCGATTAAAAAATTGTTCGTCTATTCATATTTTACTTCCATATGCATGACTTAAAAGATAGATTCTGGAAAAATAGTTTTTAGTTTAAAAAAATATCGATTAGAATAAATCTATTTCGTTGTTTGGTAAATATTCTTATGAAAATTATGTAGAAATTAAATATTTTTTTAAGCTCATCGTGATAACCCAATAAATCGAAATGAAATACGTGAAAAAGTATTGGCCCATCTTATTTCAATGACTGTGCAACTCAAATATCTTCTAGTTGAACAATTCGAATGGCTCTTACATGTTGTTCAATACGTAAGTTTTCTCTTATTTCTGATCTTTTTATATGATTGATTTGAATATATGAAAGTCAAATAATTTGACAGTTAATCTTGTATCATCTAAAAGAAAACTGACATTTTTTAAAGTATCGCTTTTGAGAAGCTACACGCCTTTAGACTAATTACATAGTAGATTGAAAATTTAGATGATGTTTTTTGTTTTTTGTATAATTAAACTGTTCAATTATTTTCAAGTTTAGAACTTTATCTAATTTCTGATCTAGAAATTTCATTTTTATTTCCTCTTGGAAAATATTTAACAGCACTTTAACTTCGACTAATTTGATATTAATGTTGAGCCTAGAGATTGGCATTATCGTTGTAATTCAAAGCCACAAATTGTAGTGATGATTGAAGTTCAGTCACGACTAGCGACAATTTTTATCAAATATTAAAGAATTCTGAATTGATCTTTTATTTTATTTTTTACAAATACATAACTTTTTTCAATTTTTCATGTCAAATTATTAATAAATGAAAATTTAACAGAAGAGACATATGTTAAAAGTTTTACATCTCTTTTAATCTTTCTCACATGCCTATTTGTCTTGGTTTATCTTTTGACAATCATCGATTTTATTTTCTTATAGCTAATCTTATGATTTTCATGATACGTTAGATTTATAGAATTTCATTTTCTTGTCAACAATACCTACATATTTACAGTAGAGGATTCTATCGGATCTGTTGAAACTGAATAAATAATGAATACTAATTTTCTATTGAGAATAAAATCTTTTTGAAACATTTGTTAAGTCGAGATCTCTTTTATCTTTCAAATAACGCTGTTTGTATGTAAAAAATATTATTTGATCGATTATGTCCGATTAACATTTGAAGAAAAATACCAGATCAAATTGAAATTCAATTCCAAATTTTTACAATAATTTTTCTGTATTCTTCATTTGTTGTTGTTAATACTGTTTAATTAAAGTATATCATTCGAAAACTAAAAAAGTTTTTCAATCAAACTCACATTAGTAGAACAGTTTTATTTTTGACATGAAAGTTAAATTCAGAGTTATCTCAAGTAAAAGTCATCTTTTTACTTTATATTAGGAATATATACATATATATTCCTAAACCAAACTGCTGAGTCTATCATTTAAATTAATAACTCAAAAAGCGACAGTTTTGATAATACAAAATACACTCATAATGTAGTCAGAGTCATAATTAGTCATCGATGTGACCAGTATTTTATGGTCACGGTCACGATCAGTTTGGTCACAGTAACGGTACGGTCACGATGGTAACGGCCGTGCCCATGACCGTGAGTCACGGTAGTTACGCGGGTGTCTATTGAAACGACCATTTTTCTTTCCAAATAGAATATCCTTCTCTCCCAATAGGAGATCCCTATTTTAGATGGCTTTCCATAATGAAAGACCCTTTTGGAAAAAATGTGGACGAGACTTACGAGGAAGGTACGCGAACTATCCCCTCGACTATGAGCTCATGTTTTGCCCACAACTAGATCTCAATGCCACTAGTTAAAGCCTAGAAGGACTCACGCCCATAGGCTGTTGGAGCTGACTTATGACTGTTTCACTGAATTTTGAATCACAAGCAAGGCACTCGTTGAAGAATCAAAAGTTGGCATTTTGTTCTGAAATTTTGCCCGTGAAAAGATGTCATGGTCCTTAGAATGTCCTAAAAATTTCACCCAAAACAGATGTTGTAAACTTGAGATACTGAATTTTCAAAACTATTAGATTTTCTGACTTATCTGCGACACATGATCGTTTTTTTAGGCATCCAATATATTAAGGATAAAGCTTCCGTTTTGGATAAAATTTTTAGGACATTCTAAGGATCATGACATCTCTTCATGGGCAAAATTTCAGAACAAAATGCCGACTTTTGATTCTTCAACAAGTGCCTTGCTTGAGGTCCAAAATTCAGTGAAACAGTCATAAGTCGGCTCCAACTGCCTATAGGCATGAGTCCTTCTAGGCTTTGACTAGTGGCATTGAGATCTAGTTGTGGGCAAAACATGAACTCCAAGTTGAGGGGACAGCTCGGATATCTCCCTCGTTAGTATAAGATCTCATTCAATTATTTAGTTTTTCGAAAAACAATAATTTCAATCATTGAATTTACACCATAATATGCTTAGTTTTCAGAGTTTTGAGCTGAAAGCCTTAATTGAGTGTTTTCAATACTTTATCTAGGCTTTCAAAATCATAAAAATCTCTTCTCAAAGCCTCAAAATCGCTCCGGCTTTCTGAACAATCTTATTAGTTTAAAATCTGTAAAAAACAAAAGAGACATAATAGAAGATCCGCGAAAAAGTTTTACTGGTGAACACAATAGAAAACCTTAGATTGTCTCATGCGAAGGAACGAGAGGTGTAATATAACAGATAAACGAAGAAGATTACGTATGATAAAAATGATCAATTTACTTTTTTGAGAAAAAAATCTTAAGTTCTTGAAACTCTATTTGGTCAAAATCTGAAAGGAAGTGAACGAAATCAGAACAGTGGAAGAAATGATCAATCGTCAAGTAGGCCATCTGGTAAAAGTGAAAAGGTCGAAAATATATGAAAATGGGCATAATTCTTGTTCAAGGAAATCCTAATATTTTTTTATGTTGCATTTTCTTCTAAAGTGTTTCTATGCGAACTGTTCAACATATATTAATATTAAGCATGTTTTGCTGGTATACTGTGATTGTATTGATGCAGTTCCTTTGTTTTAAGTTAGCATAGTTAGAAAAAGATAGTGATACATATTGAAAGAATATTGAATATAGCATTTAATTCACTAATGAAATTTGAAAATAACTGCTTTACAACTACATTGAAAATTTTCCGTGACTGGTCGTGACCAGGTTTTGGTCACGGTCACGTAACGGTCACGACTGTTTTTCGAAAAACGGTCACGACCGTGACCGTAACCGTGACTCACGGTAGTCACGCCGATGTGTAGTTATAATACTTTCGATCGTGATAAAAGATGTAGTCTATCTCATTCGTATTTCAGCTAAAAGTGTTCGTTTTGAAATAAAAATGGACAAAACAAGAAAAAATATTTCGTGCATTCATTTTCTACACGAAATTATTTGTTAGGATTTGAAAATAAAGAACAAACAAATGGAATCGTTTTATGTTTCGAAGAAAAAGAGAATAAATAACAACAGTTAATTCTAATTTATCGATAGAAAATAAAGAAAATGCTTATGTAAATCCAGAAATTTGAAACAACTTAAAGCATAAGGTGTAAAATGATCTTCATAGTCAATATGATTGAAACCAGTTAGTTTAGGGGAACCTATGAAGTATTTGCTTTATATTCGAATAATATCGTTATTCCAGTAGAATGTAATCACTTTAAGAGTTAGAAAACAAAGCTAACGTAAGATTGATTGTAAACAAGATAAAACAAAAAATTGTTTAACGATTGTTCTATGTAGATCATTATTAAAATATATTTTCCAATCATTTTAATAGAATTAATTTGATTTGATGAATCAATTCTGATAGATTATTATGATTTAGTTCTTTTGATTTTCCTTTTCTATTTAGGCATCTAATGAATTAAGAACGAATTCATTAAGTAGTGTTCGATGTGCTGAATTTTGTCTTCCAAGTAGTCACTATGGTTTTAATAATGCAAATCATATTGGCAAACATCTTGTGTCTCTTATTAGTACATATATGCCTCATTTACAAACTTTACGTCTTTGGCGACCAGATGATTTTCCTTGGACATCTAGTAGGTTTATTTTAAGCAAACAAAACTAATCACAATTAAATCGCTCATTAATCTATGATGAATATTATTCTTAGTTTGTTTTTCTTTTAATTTTTAATTTTATTTTGTACTTTATTAATCATATAGATATTTTTATAATGATGTATAGCTCAAATTGAATGAAAAAAGTACTCTTGTATCAATTCGGGGAATTGTAATTTCGCCAAATGTGAGTTTCGCCAATTGGCGAATTTTGTGGGAGAATTCTTCATTTTTAATAAACTGAGTTTGAACTCAGCTAGAGGACTTGATATACTAACTGTTGAAACTAAATAAGTTGGGATATATGAAAGTACAATAGTGAAAAAGTACAATTGGCGAAACTTGCATTTGGCGAAATTACAGAAAGCCTATCAATTCTATTCATGTCTTCTCTTGCTACATTACAAGATTTCTAATTATGTAAGATAAAGTTGATATTGGAGAAGTAAGATCGAATGTTTTAGAAACGTTGATTTTATTTTCGAAATCTTTAAACTGCAAATAACAATTGTTGATCGGATTCATTTTTTCTTTTTCTAATTTAAATTGATGTAAGATATTGTGTCTTATACATCATTATGGATTAATTATGAAAATATTGAACAATGAATTATGTTCAAGGAAGACAAAATAACTTAAATTGTGAAATTTTCTACTGAAATGTTTGTCTATTTTATTTATTTAACTATCTTTGATATCAATTTTAAGTTTAGAAAGTAATAATATTGACATCAATACACTTTATTCTTTTAAATCGTATTTTTGTAACTATTATTTACTCACCTATGATGAAACCTTTCAATCTTGTAAAATAGATCTTACTTCAACATTAAGCCAGAATCTATATGAATTTGAAATCAAGAATTATTTTATATGAATGAAATACTTTTTTATCGTTGTGTAAGTTGACACTATTTCGCTCCTAAATAGCGGGCTTTGCTATGTGTTTTTCTATACAAAAGAGAACTAAAAAGACTAATCAAAGTCTCATTTGAAAGTATCGATCAAATTCTTAATGTTTTCAAAATTCTCTGATTAAAAAGTAAACAAATAACAAAATAAGTTGCGAAAAAAACAACTTCTTATCTTAAACATGTATTCCGAACGTTCAGATCAATTTTTTTAAAACTGTACATAAGAAAATTGACACTTGATTCGATTTTTCACTAAAAAAGTAACTCGGCAATAAAAGTTCTTTAGTTGAATAAAAATATTAAACAATTATTTTATATAAAAAGAAATGCAATTAAAAAAAAAGATTCATTGAAATCATCTATCTTTTTCGATAAAGGAAAAGAAAACTATTTTCTATTGAAACTCTCATGTATTTTACGGATTGATACTGTTTCATTGTCTTTTTCTTCATTTAAGTTCGACCAGATAATGGGATAAGGCTCACCAATGTGGCTCCACTTCGACGATGGATCAAGTCTCTAAAAACACCCGAATCGATTGGTATATATATAAATACATTTTATACGTGAAAATAAAGGAATAATATAATTCTCTTGTTTTAGCTCAACATGTAAATGTCTTTGAACAAGACCTTTGTGAATTGGTCAAAAACTTAAAAGAATTTACTTTTCTCGATATTTGTGGCAAAATTCATTATGAAAAAGTTGAACCCTATCGTTTAATGGTTCAAGCTCGCTTTCCTAATAGTCGAATAGATGTTGAAATATCAAGATTTCGTCTTTGGCTTTAACTTTCTGTTCGTTATATGGAACAATTGTGCATTAAAGATAATTGCCATAAATATAGGTATTATTTTTCCTTTCGTTCTTTGATGTTTTCTTGATCTCAACTTATGTTGGTTATTGCTGGTCAAGCTCAAACAAACATTATATTTGACCTTGATCTTGTTCTATATTACGTAATATATATGTATCTTTGCTTTATGTAATAAAATGGGCATTTATACGTATTTATTTCGATACGCTTCATGTAAATTACTTGTGTGCAATAATGAAATGTTAAAATCGCTTTCTGAACAATATTTTGTTATTCGTTGGAAAATTCCTTGTAAATAAAACGAAAATGAACTTAATATTAATCTACTTTCTCTTTATTTAATAATTCCTTGTACTTTTTCCCACCATGTTCAGAGCCATCCTTCAAGTAGACAAAGTATAAAAAAATGACTTTTTTACACGTAAAAAGCACATATTTTGACCTATTAAAATACCTTTTATACTTTCGAAAAAATAATGAGTAAATACTTTCTATTTTTTTTATAAATTCGCTTTTTTCTTCAATAGTATCGAAAATTTTAGCACGTAAAATTAAGCCAGAATATTGAATCTCTTCAACAATGAATTTATGATTTACTGACATAGACTTGGACCTCTCTTCAACAATTTTTGCATACATGTAATTTCTATCTCTATTAGACTTTAAAGAATTATTTTATTATTTATACATATTAAAAATTAAAATCAAGTTTGGTTTTACACATCAATCTTTTTAATGGATAACCATTGAACCATTAATTGACGTTGGATGATTCATCCACTATTCGAAGAGTTAGTTTTTTTCTAGTAATCAAATGTTAAACTTCCGAAGAATATCACTTCACCAACATTCAATATCTTTTGGAATTAATGCTCATCGTTTTCGATCAGCTCGTCGTTCTTCTCAATCATTATCAAATGATGAAAAACACATTATTAATGAAACAAAACCTGTTTCATTAGATAATCTTTCATCAGTAGTTCGTCAAATTCTTTCTAAAGATCCATCATATGCTGTTCGTTTTGGTGGTGAATTATCTGAAAATAAGAAATATCTTCTTCAACAATATTTCGAACAACAGGTCGAGCTGAAAATCTATTTTCACAAATACCAAAAGATGATCTTATATTATCAACAAAAGAAGATGAAAATGATTTACCTCATCCTCTAATTGTGGCTTTTACATCGGTAGAAAATCAATTTCAAATGGATTTAGGAACAGAAGATAAAACAATACCATCTTATGAAACAGCTCGTTGTTTTGGTTGTAGAACACCACTTCAATGTTCTGATAAAACTAAACCGTAAGTTATTCTTTTTTAAATATAATCATTTATTTTTTAATCTATATTGTAGAGGTTTTATACCAGTCGAAATATATAAACATTATCTTTCAACAAATTTATAAAAACGAACTAGTGAATGTCAAAGATGCTTTCTTTTTAAATATATAAATGATATATCACATTGTGAAATTAATTAACAAGCTTATAAAAATGTTTTAACAGAAATAAAATGGCAAGGTGCTTTAATTATTTTAATTGTTGATCCTCTTGATATACTAAATTCAATTAGTCGATCATGGTCATATCTTATTGATCAATCAACTGAAAAATCTTAATACTTCACCAAATGTTGTATTTGTTCTTGGCAATAAAGTTGATTTGTTACTAAAAGGTAGATTTGTTTGTTGTTACACAAATGAAGTTCAGAAAACTTTTTGCAGATATGCAAAAAATATCGCATAGTTCAAAAGCTACTTTACAAACAAAAGCTGAATATTTTCGACATAGTTTAGCGGAACGTATTGTTGACTTTATTTTCAAAGCATGCTAAAGATTATATAGCAGATGTATTCAAATTAATAATAATTTTATTTTAGACGGTGAATCTTATTTGTCTGATGTTCGTAAATGCCTTCAAAACGAATGTACAAAACGTGGTTTAGGCAAACACAGCGTTAAAATATTATGGTTTAATCAGTGCTCGAACTGAATATGGGCTGGAAGAACTTATTTCCAAAGTATTTCGTTACTGGTCACAACATGGTTTCTCTTTACTGTTTTTTTTATTCATTTCTTTTTTCTTTTGTCATAAAAATCTACATAGGTGGTGTTTATCTACTTGGTAGTACAAATACTGAAAAAACTAGTTTATTTAATAGTCTTATTGATTCTGATCTTCGTCATATTCATGCACTTGGTTGTATTCAACGTGCAACTGAATCAAATCTTCCTGGCAAAGATATTTATTAAGAAATTTTTTATTTACTTAGGAGTATCCAAAACTAGCAATAGTGACATTTTAGTACCGTGTAGTAAGCTTTGAGAGCTTTCTTTTTATATAGAATGATAGAGAAAAGAATGCTTTATGTTACTATGCTATTTGATGATATTTCAATTAATATCAAAATAATAAAATTTCGATAATGTCTCTGTTGTTCTCATGTGTCACGGTTCTATGAATGTTAGTGAGTATTTTTTTGAATAACTGTTGATAGAAATAAGATAGAGAGAAGTGCAGTTTTGATCGTTGCAAAAAGGAGATGAATATGCATCGAATAATGTATTATAGATGGGGATGGGCGAAATCAGTTTTTTGTGGACTCGGAACTGGATCGTCACAAGCTTTATTTATTTTTAGGATCGTATCAGAATCGTGAAGATTAATTTTAAGGATCGGTGTTGGAGTCGTCTATAATAAAATTTTATAGTTTATATGATATGAGTTGTACTCCTTTTTTTTGTTTCCATGATAAACATTTTTACCATTATTACCAATTAATAGGTTTTTTTTCTTGTTTTTTTAACCTTCGGTTACTGTCGTGGGATCCATGCGGATCCACTCTGCAGTTTTTTGTCGCGTCCTATACAATCGTTTATTATTTCGGATCATTTGCTTTTTGTAATCTCTAGTCTTTGGATGGTGTATAACATCCTCATGAAAAACCACATATAGGTCTAACAGGAAAAAAATACCGATATGGATCCACGTGGGCCCCAGGACACTAATGGTGTCATAGATATGATTTTTCGCTTTGTTATGACTGCCATCCTCTGTGTATCGTTTTCTTTTTTGAAATAAATAAGTTACGATTGGTGTGCGTGTTCATCTCTCGTACTATTGACTCATATTTTCGTTGTAGAGAGACAAAGTTTTACTATTTCTTGCTCAAAACCAAATTTCTGTATTAATCCGTTTCTTCACATCATACATTCTTATATTGCCTCAATGAGGACTAATAGATAAGTCTATATAAAGAAGAATATTTGGAGACCTGTAGTATATAATAGAATACTTTACATAAAGCAAAACCATCATTTTTTGTAGTTTTATGGGAATAGATCCACGCGGATCTCAGAACACTGTTGAAGTTACAAAATGAGAACGATAGCGAAGGACTAAATAAATAATTGAACAATTAATTTAAGATTTTATGTTAAAAACAATATCACCAAAAACGGCAACGATACCAAAATTTTTGTAACGTGAAATCGGAACCGGACCGGAATCAAATCTGACTTTTTAAGCATCGTATCAGAATCGGGGAGTTCAACTTTTCTAAGTATCGGCATCGGGCTCAGACTTGCCGATTCCCGATTTCAGTACCGATTCCGATGCGGAATCGCCCTTTCCTAATTATAGATTTGTCTAATATTGATTTCTGAAGTATTTTTATTCAATTTTCTAACAGTCGGGAAAATGTTTTCTTTTCTTCATGAAGAAAGGAAGAGTATAAAAGTGAGCTTTTTTCAAAGATTTTGCCAGAAAATCGTATTAGAGGCTCGAATAGAGTGGATATTATTCAGCTCAGTCTTCCGCACTTTGTAGATCTTCGATTAGTGGTTTTAATTTATACTTGATAATTGAAAATTTACTGTAAACAACTTACCAGATAAGTTTGTTCTTAAAAAGATCAATTGAAAACCTTACAAAAAACAAATGAGGAAAAGCTGGAATTTACGATTTGATGCGTCCTTATTTCCTCTTTCCAATGGTGAAAATCACAATCCTTTATCTTGTTTCTATCAAAAATGATTCAAAAATACTCACTCGTGTTTTTTTAAAATGAATATTTATACAACCAACACATATGATAACGAAACAGATCTTATTGAAATTTTATTATTATGATATTAGTTAAAACATCATCAAATAGCATAGTAAAATAGAGCATTCTTTTCTCTATCTGACTATATAAAAAGAAAGCTTTTCAAGCTTACTATACGGTACTAATATGTGACTACCACTACTTTTGAGTAAACTCCCCCCCAGAATAAAAGGCCATGGCCTTCTATTATGGAAATTCACATCGGACTTTTCAAGGTGGCCTTCTATTAAGGGTGGCCTTCTAATAGGACTTTTATGGCAAAAACTTACAAGTTTTTTTTGTTAGTAATGATTTTGTTTTTCGAGCTCGGCAACTTAAAATTGAAATTTGTTTAAGNGAAAGTTATCGAATTTCCTTGAAAGATACTTCATCTGACTCAGTTTTTGTGCTGATTCCAATTCTGTATTTAGTTTGTGAATAAAAGCCTTATTTGAATCCGAAAACCGTTGAATACTGTTTAAAATACCTTTGATATTCGTAAAACCCGGTTTTCTCAACACAGGAGAGGAAAGGAAAAAAAGTGCTCTGTAACTTTGTGAGTGGTGGTATGATGAGTTGAATGTGCTAAAATATTTGCCTTTATCACTTACGTAGAAAGACTTGATTCGTTTATAAAATCGACCTGTACGTGGTGCACTTGACGAGATTCGATGCGACACCACAAATCGAGTTTTAGGTCTTGTGTCGATTTAACAACCTACTTCTACTCAGTTTTTGATGCTGAATCTGAAAAAAAGAATAAAATAGAAAATTTTGCATATTTCCCGAAAGGATGCATTTTTCTCGAAAAACGACACCTCTCGAGTATTTCGTATTTGTCGACCGGAAAGAACCTTTTGCTAAGGCTAAAAAGTAGATATTCGTGATCAGCAGATAAAAATCTATCAGATGATGTGAAAAAAACGCGAGAAAAAATTTTTACTGAAAATTCGCTTTACCTGCACCTTACATTAATTTATCCTTTTATTACGACAAGAAATCAGCTACTGAATAGCAAAGTTAAGACTAGCTGATTGAACTTATCTTTTCACTGTTAAGAGATAGATCCATCAATGTTTTCGATCAAATTATATAACAATCTCTCTAAACCTATTCCTGGACAAAGTATATTTCTTTCTTTCATTTCGTGCTATCGTATCTCCGGTGAACCATCAGCTCTTGCCATACAAAGTTTATCTTCTCTTTTCATTCTTTTACTTTCTTCACTCATTATCTTTCCTGCCCATTTTTTATCTAGTGCCGAAGCATTCGATGCATTTTTTTTTGCACATTTAAACATAGTGAGGCGGCGAAGAATGATAACATCTTTCATCTCAGGTGCATAGTAGACGTTTTAACTGCATTCTTCACATTAACAAGGCAAAGAACGTGTTCTCTATGTCGTCACCATTTGGCACAAATCTGGCAGATCTTTCAACCGAGGATCCATATTATCAAAAAGGATTTGCCACTTACTTGTCATTGCTAAATATGTCTGACACACTTGCCTACTTTAACGACAACATTGGTAAATATGTTGCGGATACAACCCACCATTGGCGCTTGTTATCTGTCGGTTGTGGTGATGGTCGGTTTGATTTGGATCTACTCGACATAATTGCTCGACACTTTCCTCTACTTGATATTGAATACGTCGGTCTTGAACCCAATCAATATCGACTAGATTTATTCAAAGAAAATATTTCGTTATGTTCATCAGTATCTCGCTACCATTTCCATTTGGAACAGATGGATCTTGATGGCTATGAGAATAGACAAAGCGATGAGAAATTCAATATGATTCTGTGTGCACGCGTACTATATTATATGCACGATCGTCTTGAATCGACATTTGTACGACTTATCAACAGATTAACAGTAAAAGGAAAGCTGCTTGCTATTCACCAATCCCCAAGTGGTATTGCTCAAATCATTCATGCTGCAGGGCTCGGCCAACTATCACCCGTTCATAAATGCAATACTTATCATTTGCGACAAGCTTTGGAGAAACTTGTTTCTCAAATACCTTCCTTACACTTTAGCATAATCTATCTCGACAATTATGTGAACATCAGCTGTCTAAAAAACGTCAATGCAAGTGAGGAGTCTGAACGCGAGAAGGCATTGAGCTTGCTCAGCTTCTTTTTTGGTAAGAACTTGACGGGAATCGATGGAGAACTGGTGGAAAAGATGGTTGTCGAGCGCATTCTGTCACTTGTTGCTTTTCACAAAGAAGACAATAGTGATTCGCGTTTCATGTTTCATCCAATTGGAATTGTTCTTGTAGAAATGCGCTCATAAAAAAACAGTACACTTTTGCCACAACATTTTACACCAAAAAGCATGATATTTTAATATGGCAGAATGAATATCACAATCTCGATTGTCACGTCGAACGTTGTTTTTCTGCTTTTCATATAGAGATGTTTTTCTTATTGCAAAATCGAATGTGTTTTTATAGAATAAATCATGATCACTGACGTGTGCAGTTTGCCATCATTCTTATTGATTGATCTGTTAACTTAGCGCAATCAATTTCAATTCGTGAAGTAAAACACCATTCTGTTTTCAACTGATAGTTAACTCTGTTTCTCTATTTATTTTATGTACTTGAGGGTGTCAATGTGGATATCGATGTGTGTGGATGTGAGTGTTGGTGTAAATATAGGCATTTAAAAAAGACAAAAAACGTACTCAAAGCCACAGCAACATCCACAATCTACTTCACACCGCGCTCCAAAAAGCATACCATAAAAATTTCATGTGATTTGAATTTACTTGACCCTAAATCGATTTTGACAAAGGGTAACATTAATACTGATTTTGAATAGTTTCTGATGATTCATAACTTACTTGAAGTTAAGAGCATAATTAGTTCATGACGAGATAATACTATTTCGTTCTATTTTTCTCGGTCATAGAGACATATCTATGAAAATGACAATCTTTTGTGTCATCTGATTTGCGAACATAAACTCGAAATCCAAAAACTGTTAAATTCAATTTCGTTTGCTTATCTAATTCAAATAATTCAAATAGAATACAATCTGAAGTCTCAAATTTTCGTTGCTTAAATTCTTAAAAATTTACTTATATCAATTTTAGAGCAGCTTATTTTATATCATAAATTGTTTTTAAAAAATTAACCGAAAATTTCAAATTTTGGTTATTAGAGAGTTCGCTAAACATGAGTCTTACTATTTCTATGTAATGTGCTATAGATTCTAGAGCGTGCTAAACTACTTTTTTTTTCATTTTAATTAACTGCAATTTATAATATATTCTATAATATTTTCCAGATATAAGTGTTATTATGAATGCCATCAGCCTTTTTTTGAATTTGAACACATCCTTCAATTGTCATCATAACATGGAATCAAATATTGAATGGAGACAAACCAATTGAGGTACAAGGCATTTATATGCAAAAACAAAAACACATAAAACAATGTTTAGAAAACAAAGCCGGTTTGAAATATGGATGTTGATGAGCGGTTTCTCTTCACAAACATAGCTCCATTTACTCATCTTACGCTTGCAATAAAAAAATATATTATCACTATAAATTACGATAAAATCTCACCGAAAACTCACTATAACTTTAATTCAGACTCATCTTAGCAAACCCAAATTGATGCCCGTTACTCGTACATTATTAATATTAGTTTATCAATAACAAAACAAAAGAATCAACTAATCAATATTTATCCTAAGTATTTTGTTCTTTTGAGTAGAACATGATCAATCTTCTTGACATGCAGTATAAAAGGTTCAGTTGCTAGTGTATAGATGTAAACGGATTCGACAGAACATAAGTTACCACGAAGTTTTCATAAATGTTGAAAGCTCAACTTAATATATGCTAGACATTCGAAATACGGTTGCCGAATTATATAAGAAAGAAAAACCTCAAATATAATTGATAAAACAATCAACTCGTTATCCGTAGCTATAGATTCTAATCCTGTTCTATTGTCATGATCTTGATGCAAATAATCATCCATACTACTGAAAGCATATTAATGTGAATATTTCATGAAAGTTTTACACCTGTCATAATTCGGAATAGAAAAAGTGAAATATTACTGCTCTCGTTTTCAGAAACTTATATAAACTCAAACCATCACGCACGATCATTTTATGGCCTTTGTTCCATACATTGTCGCAATTGATGAATTTCAGCCGCTTAGTATTCGATTGTTATCAGTCATTAATGCAACTAGTAATGGCTATTTTGGTAAAGGATATTTTGCCAAACAATTTTCTGCAGAATGAGTTTTAACCTTTATAGGATGTTCCTTACATGCTGAAGGAACCATTCATAGAGTACTGGGTACTGCCAATCATTTGAATAGATAACGGATGTAAAAAAATCGGAGACAATCTGATTATAATAGTTCTTTTTGTGATTAAAAGTTGTAATTAAGAACCTATTGTAATTGGTTTTTAATCAAGAGGAAAATAATCGTAACCGGATTTTTTAACTTTTTATACAATATTACCTTTTTGTTCCGTTTTAATCATACATATCGAAGATGAGTGGATTTCTCCAGATTCGAACACGAAACTCCTAGATCTGCATGATTATTTGGATTGCTCGTGTTTGGCAACTATAAAGTTGGTATTGAACCGAAGTCAAACAAATGTAGTAAAGTTGAAACTTCTACACAAACTGATATGGTGTAATTACAGTGGAAATTGACGAAAATCGATTAGAATTAAAAAAATCAATTAAAATCGGTTTGATTTTTAATCGATTCTTTAGACTGTTTTAAATCAACTGGATTTTAACAGACTGTTTTCGAAATCAATTATAATCAATTCGACTCTTATTTGATTATTGTGGAACTCGTATATGCTTTCAAAGAAAACACAGTGACTGGAAGTTTGAATCAAGATCTTTGTGGCTTATTTCCAACTCCATCTCAAACCAACAGTGCTTTAATCATCCTTGAGCTTTCTAGGATCTTGCGAAGCATTCCATGAACCTACGATTTATACCGTAGATTGTCACTAGTCTATATATTAGGGCTCTTGGTATTCGATGCAGAGAAAGGATATTATTGTAGGTGTCAATCAGTATAGTCATGTTATTATTGATCTAGTAGAGTCAGAATAGGGCGAACACTGAAAAGCATGAACTAATTGAATTTTAAGTGTAAGAAAAACTCAACACTACATGCCAAAGTTCATTGAAAGAAGGGATGATTGTTTAAAAGCTTTCTTGATAATTATATCAACCTGTACAGCATGGTACTATAGTACTTCAACCGTCAAAACAAAGAATTAAATGATATTTGCCACATCGTATGGTATGTATCGTTTATATTATTATTAAGAGAAAAAAAATGTATTGAAGATGTATCTGACAATACTAATAAGCGTCTTCAGCACAACCATACTAAATGAATCTAATACCTTTGTAGAATAGGAATTCTAAATGCAAACATTTTTGAAGCGCTAAAGTTTCCGAACGAGCATATCAACTATATAAAAGATTATCTTTTTTCGAATTATTCGTTTATCTGACTTTTTCAAATGAATAATTTAAACCTCTTTGACAATATATCATAAATTCATAAGAGTTAGAATTTGTGAGTTCCACATTCTGGTCCTTTATGAATTTACATTGACAAGTTTTTTAGATTATTATAAAGGACTTAAATTTTAACAAATTATGCTTGAAATCGATTATTTAGATTTTTTGCTGAAAAATCAGTTTTAATTCATCATTGCCTGATAATAATCTGTTTAAATCTATTATTTCGTTGAATTTAATCAAAATGTGGTTTGTTTAATCGAATATCTATGACTACTGTAGGAAAATCAGTTTTAACCTGATTTTTTGACCGTTTTTCTACATGAGAATTCTTCGTGTACCTTTGCAATAACTCTATTATGATTCATACTTTGATGACTGCAGCTTTCGTACTCAAGAAACATTTGAATATTTTTAAATGAATAATTATACTTTACATGATAATATAAATCAGGTGAATATGAAAAAGGATAATGTACGAGATGCCAACTTAACAGGTCTGTAAGAGAATATATAAACTGTCAGTGCCATCATTCGCCACGATCAAATCCAGTTTGCTGTCACGGTTGAAATCACCAACGACCACGGAGAACGGCTGAGATCCGTAGCCCATCGAAAATGGAATCATACTTGCGAATGAGCCATCGCCATATCCAAGCAATATGCCCACAATATTAGTGCCTTGATTAGCAACGACAATATCCAGTATGGTGTCATTGTTAAAATCACCAACAGAGACAGAATATGGATCGGAATTAGGACCCGTTGAGTATGTCGTTTGATTGATAAAAGAACCATTGCCATATCCGAGAAAAATACCTACGTTGCCAGAACCATAATTAGCGACGACGATATCAAGTCGGCTATCTTTATTGAAATCACCAACAGCCATAGAGTATGGCGACGAAGACGAACCAGTTGAATATGTTGCTTCAGTTGTAAAAGATATATTGCCAAATCCGAGAAAAATTCCGATGCTGTGAGAATTCATATTAGTAACGGCGATATCCATTTGATCATCATTGTTAAAATCACCAGTGGCAAACGATCGTGATCGCAAATCGTTGCCAGATGGGATTCTGGTTTCGTGTATAAAACCTATATTGATGTATCCAAGAAGAACACTTATACTGTTACCAATAGCATTGGCGACAACGATTTCCGAACCGGTATCGTTGTTGAAATTACCAACAGCTACAGATTGTGGATAGCGGCCAGTTACATATGTAGTTTGCTGTGCAAAAGAACCATTACCATATCCAAGAAGAACACTTACATCATTACTCTCGGCATTGGCAACAACGATATCTAATCGATTGTCGTTATTGAAATCACCAGCAGCTACAGAATATGGCTTTTCGCCTGTTGGATACGTGATTTGATTTGTAAAAGAGCCATTACCATATCCAAGAAGAATACTCACAACGTTGTCGTAATAATTGGTGACAACGATATCTAGTTGATTGTCGTTATTAAAATCACCAACGGCTACAGAATATGGAAATTGACCAGTGGAACATGTGATTTGATTTGCAAATGAGCCATTACCATATCCAAGAAGAATACTCACAACGTTGTCGTAATAATTGGTGACAATGATATCTAGCCGATTGTCGTTGTTGATATCACCAACAGCTACAGAATATGGCATTTCACCTGTTGAATACGTGATTTGATTTGTAAAAGAGCCATTACCATATCCAAAAAACACACTCACATTATTGCTGCCAGCATTACCAACAACGATGTCTAATCGGCTATCATTGTTAAGATCGCCAACAGCCACAGACTGTGGCCCTTTGTCTGTTGCATACATAATTCGATTTGTAAAAGAAACAAAGTTGAAAGCAACAAAGATATCCACATTTTCACTGTCACCATATGCTACAACAATAGGAGCTGTTCGTATAGTATGTATTGCACAATGAAAGGTTGATATCACGGAATACTGAAATATGATAAAAATGGGAGAAATATGAGTTGGCTAGTGATCATGTGTGCATTCATTTTTCGATTTTGAGACTAAATAGTTGCGTGTACATGCGATATTCAAATTTCTCTGTTTTATAAATGCATAATGAGTTACAAAATTGAAAACTGTGAAAAAACAGTAGAATAATAAAGTTTCATAGGGTTTATGAAAGTACAACATATAAAAACTCTCTTCTTCTGTATATGAAGTCTTTCCAAATCCTTTTATAAACCATTTAGAAAGAGTATATGGAAAGATCGATGACATTTAAATACCAACCATAAACGATTCATGAAAACATTAATAATATTCATAAACCCTGGGTAGGACACATGAACTTTATAAGCACTTTGAAAAAAAAAATCTTCAAATCGATGATCAAATGGTATATTGGAGGGTTCATGACGATCACGAATCATACAAACAGTTTATAGAAAAGAATATAGAAAGACTTACGCTAGTCATAAACCACGTAAAACGTCCGTGAGAGTGTAAATGAAAGGATTCGTTAGAGTCTTCAACAGCTCTCAGACTTTATGAAAGGGTATCTAGAAGATCTTATTAAAATGTGTCAAGCGTGTAAGGAATTATGACACTGTTTAAAAAAGTCTTTATCGTGACAACGAATATCAGAAGGATGTCTGAAGCAGTAAACGAATGTTTCTTCTCAATAGAGTTGATGGTGCTCACGACTGTTTTCTGACTGATGCTTGCAGTCTAAAGTCTAAAAACACTTAAAAATGCACCGAATAACTGATAACACTTAACCATTGCTCACGAGCAGTAATGCAAAAGAGTTTGTGAAAGAGTTAAGTAAAATTAAACAATTTCATTCTATTCGTCTCATGATCTGAGAAAAAACCATCATGATCATTGAACTAAGAAAAAGAAACGTGAAGTGAGTTCTGTTGTTCTTTTTCTCTCATAAACTGCTCGTTAACTAATAGGAGAACTAAATCATGAAAAGGAAATGAAATGAGACGAACTGACTCTTTCGATATTTCTCATAAAATGATGAAGAATTATCGGGAGGAGAGAATGACTAAATGAAGATAAAATTGAACGAGTTTCTTTGCTTTCTCTTGTCAGATGTAGTAAAATGATGAGGGTAATCAAATGAGCAGAGAAAAGAGCACGGTTTATTGTCTTATCATATTTTTCTCATAAGAAGTTGGGAAACTGTCAGAATGATAAAATAAAGAAAAAGTTGATGCAACTTAATCATTCCATCCAATCTCTCGCATTAGATGCTGAAAAACAAGTCGGCGTGTCTGATAAAAAAGAAAAATTTAACTCAACGATTTTATGCTATTCCTATTATAAGATGCTAATTAACTATCAGAAGAACTATACCGTTAAAAAAAATCTAAAATGATTAATATTTACCGGAAATCGATGTGTNTCGTAAACCGAAAAAGGTTTCCGAAGTTCGGAAACGCATGAAAGGGTATCCGAGGCTCGGAAACTCTTTTCGGTTTACGAGTTTGTTACTATCGGAAACGTTTTAAGGGTTTCCGAGGGTAAAAAATGGGTTTCCGAGCTTTCGGAAACCGATAAAAGGGTTCTCGAGGGCAAGAAATGGATTTCCGAACACTCGGAAACCTTTCTCCCTTGGTTTCCGAGAATACTGTTTTTTTTTAGAGAGTAGCGTTTGAATTGTTCGAGTTACTACCATTCAGCAAGTAGATATCATAACAGGCTCCAAATGTTGGACCATAGTCACTGTTATGATTAACTGTGTTTTCTGTATTACGAGGATTGATGAGGTATGTCGACGGCGGGATGTTATGAAGATTGATCAAAGTGAATAAAAATACTGTAATATCATTCTTACACGAATTATTTGAAGGCCATGGAATAGCTGTATAACCACCAATAAGATAATTATTATTGAATTGAATAGTCGCCATTGTTGCTCCTTAATTATTACAACCTGAAGGAAATGTATTTGCATCAAATCCATCTTGTGATGCTTTTTTGTGTTTGAACGTTAAAATATTGGAGAAGACATAAAATTTACACAATGAAAATTGAAAAAACTGTAAATAATATCATATTTTTCTCAAAATCGATTTTTGAGTAGAAAAAAATGGACATTTCTTCTTTTTTCTACTGCTCTATATGCCCAACCAGTTAAACAATTTTTTCAGTAATACTTTGGTCGAATGGGAGTATGTAGTCGTTTTTAATTTTGTTTCAAAGAAATTAGTATCATAGACAAAAAATATTATTTAACATTTTCTTGAACTTCATGAATGATAGATTGTAAGAAAAAACACACATCTATCAATTTGATCCTAGTCTTCATAGAAAAATGATTGCAGTTTAATTTCAAGTCCATTGCAAATGTTAATCTAATTGTTAAGATCTATCGCCTTTGAAAAGTTTCATAGGCTTTTGTCTAGCCGGGTGTGGGTGTGGGTGACAATAGAACCAACATTCATACCCACACCCTTTTGTTTTCCTGTCTCAGGATAATGTATTTCCTTCCACTACTTAGAATGACTTATTACGAAAAAGAAACTAACAAGTGAATGTCCTCACAGATATTTTAGATCATTTGGGTCCAAAATCTTTTTCTTCTTTTTTTTCTAGTTCGCAATTTACCTCTAAGTATAGTCTTTATGGTTATTTTTTGTTGTTTCGCCAGATATATTCGTTCCTCAAAAATACGAAAAGCTTCTCTATGACAGAATTTCCATATGTTCTAATTTTCTTTCTTTTTTTCTTTTTTTATGAAATATTTCTTCACGTGTTGTCTTTTGTCTGAATGTGAATGTCAACGAAATAATGAACGGGAATGTATAAAATTTTGAAGATTATGTATATGTGTATTTTGTTTCCAGATGGCTGCTCCATAATCAACACATACATCTATTACACAGGAAAACGTTAATAAAGCTAAAATGTTTATTGAAAATTTTTCTGTGAATTTAATCAATCAATATGAAGAACGAAAAGAAAGATAAATTGAGCTGTTAAAAGTTACTTAAGTATAACAGAATATTATCAAGAAAGGAGAATAAAAACATTTTTCAATATGGTCTGTATCGTTCAGTCTTATGATTGAGAATGTTTGGTTGATTTGATTAAGTATGCGAGTGTTTTAGTTTAATCACTTTTCTAGATCAAAGAAACAGTATTATCTATATTTAAGTAACCAATTGGCTCTCAAGAATGTGGCTGTATGTAGATGTAATTTGATTTTTTCCTCAGAGCCACACCCACACGCTGCACAAAGCCACACACAACCTAGTCTCGTCACTTATGTTTGACAAGTTGTTTTGTTGTCTAGCAAATGAAAGAGCATCTTTCTGCTACTTGAACTATTCAAACGAGCGTCAGTTTATTAGTAAGTCATGATCTGGCGTCAGTATTACCTGCCAGATATTGAATACTGTCGGATCCTATGTTCGAATCTACCTTTTGCCTCATTTTTCTATTGTTATTCTGTCCTATGGACTATTATGTATCAGAGACTGTTACCAGACAGGGCTGCTCTGTGTCGATAAAAAAATTTTAAAAAAATAAATGTTCAATCCGTCTTGGTCAAGTGAAATTGACTTTAAAAAATAATTTTCAAGCGATTAAACTCTATTACTAAATCAGCAGGGTTTGGTATTCCAGTCAAATTTATTTTTCCAGTATATATGTCAAGAAGTTTATGCGCATGCAAGAATAAGTGTAACTAAGAAAATCCAATGAAAAGTTGCGTTTATCCTGAAATCAGACTTTATTTGACTCTATTGGAAAATAGTCGACTTTACTTTAACACCCATGACAAGTAAAGATCATCTTATACTGGAGAGTCGTCCACAGAAAACTTCAAAGTTATAATAGAACAAAATGTGTTGCCTAAACTGTTTTCGGAAATTTTGTGGATTCTTTTAGACTTAGTGTATAACAAACTGGTTTTAGAGTAAAAAACAATCGTTTTTCGAGTAAAATTAATTTTTCTAGTAAAAAGCTTGGTATTATACAATAGTTAGTTGCTAAAATAGTCTGTCAATGGAAAAGGCTAAAACTCGGACTAAAACCGATTATTTTTCGATTAAAATGCTACTACTTTAACCTGATTTCAAGCCATTTTTTTACATGGATAATAGAGTCTCAGAAGATTTTTTTAAAGAACCTTGATCTTATAGATAAATATGAGCAAAAATCTAGCCAAAAATAGAACGCCATTTTTGGAAGAGTGATTTGAATTTCTGCAATAGAAGACGATCACTTTTTATTCCGTAAGGATGGAGCTACAGTAATATATATTGGCATTACAGTTTACAGGTTGAATTATCAATTAGTATTGTATCTTGGAATCTGATATGTGTCAAAGGTTGATCTAGTATTGCACTTACCATTCCTGGTACTAAAGAATCCTGAGAGTTTAATTTTCAGAAGACGTTTTTCATCCGTATCGTAATTACAAGCGGCTAAAAATTGAGTAACCAGACTAAAACTAGTAAAATTTTAATCATTTTTTAAAAGGAAAACTTTCATTGAAATTAAGCATTTTTTCGAGTTTTTAAAAAGGTGCTACCTTCTGGTCCGTGATGCTTTCTAATTACATATCAAGTTTGACTGTGGCATTCTTTCAAAATCACAAAAAATAAAAAATGGATATTAAATTTGAAAGCAATCAGTTGCTTTTTATGAAGATGTGAGATTTTCGAATAGACATACTCGATTCAGAAGCTCTGGCCTGCCTTTCCCTCTGAACAGGGCATCGCATAAAAAAACTGCCCTATGGATGGTTGTAAAGAGGAAAACACCCACACCCACACCCTCTAGCTTGAGACGAACTCGACAAATCTACATGAGATCAAAAGCCAGTTGATGTATTTCTCGTTGACGATAAATTTACCCTCTCCATCGATGACCACAGTTTCTACATAAGACGAACAGAGTCATCGGCTCATCACCGCTGAGTGTTTGAAGTTCGGAATATGAGCAGTTACTTTTTTTACATCGCTCGCATTGAATCAGATCACTGCCAATACCTTCGTCGACTGCCAATAGACTTTCACGATGAGCTATTTCTTTGAATTTGGCACATTCTTTCTTCAAAGTATCACTGGTCATTTCATCGGTCGTCATCACAGCCAATCGTTCCGGTGTAATACTACCGAGAAGTACTTTAGTACGAAGATCAGGATTTTTCAAATCTCTCAGATTGAATATCCGACTGCGAATACGACGTCCATATTTAACTGTAGTATCTTTGATTTCTTTGAAGATGGCATCTTCGATGCGATCAGATAATTCTACTGGATCACCCGCACCTTCAGGAATTCCAGTGACCGATAATGCATTTGCCAGTAGTTCACGTGATTTGAGTCTTACTGTATCAGCTGTTTGCCATGAGACATTACGAACTGAAGTGGTCGATTGAGAAGTTTTTTGTCCAATCATATTGCTCGCTTCATGACACTGAGTCTTGTTGATAGAGTCCTCTTTCTGTGGTTGACTTTTGCTATTATTAGTCGATGCTATTGATTTATCGTCCTTGACCGAAGATGTGGCTACAAAAGGTTCAGGAAGGAGTTTTTTCCACTTTTTCAATAGACTCTGCGCCATTTTGGACAGATCCTCATCGGTAGTAGCTCGTCGTAGTTCATTGACCGTTTTTCCAATACCAGTTTTTTGCAAAATCATCAATGTAATGCGTAATTCTTGAAAGCGAGCAAGCAAAGTTCGAGCAACAGATTCGTCCACTTCCGATTTATCAATCATTTTCTTTAACTTTCGATTAATATTGACAATTTCTTCTTCCGTCATGTTTTCTCGATCCAATTCTAAATTTTTGAAATAAAGATTCGAGTATTAGCTGTGCCTAGGAATACCATGCATAAAACATGGATTTCATCTCACACTTACGTAGAGAATCGACGATGTGAAAATTTTTTCAACACACAACTGTTAAAGTACTATTGGAAAATATACCCACTGACGTCATCGTTAGTAGAACGAACAAATGCATTCTTTGCTATTCAGATGAGAATGAGTCATGTTCTTTGATTTACTTGTGCAATGGCAAGCACGTAGAGGAAAAAAACACATTATTTCCCCACTACTGGGAGAAAAAGAGAAAACATGCAATCTGCTCATTATACAGAAAAACTTTGGTAGAATCATTTTTACTATGAAAATAGCACAAGAAAATTGTGAAATGCGACTAATATTTAACCGAATGATACCAATGTCGCTCGATTTGTCTGTCAACTACTGCAGCATCAGTACGAACTCTGACACGTGTGAGTCAAATCTCCATTGGCAGAAAAAGACATTTATCTCATCATCCTATAACGATTGTAGCAGCGTTGTTGTGAAATTGTTCGACAACACAGTTTACGCTCTTCGCATCGAATTATACTGTGTCCAAAAAGCGGACGATGAGGATACGGATAGCCAAGACTCATCCGTTTTTCAAACAAATTGCGATGAAGCTCACTAGCTTGCTGTGCATGTAGATTTCAACGACAATGATATATTTGATGACGATAAAGATCGTTTAGCTCCTATGAATTAGTATAAAGAAAATTCTCAAATAAGTCAATATGGTTTAATTTAAATATTAGCATTCCAAAACTTGATGGTAGAAATTAATTGAGTGAACAACATTGCATGCATATTGTCCTGTCACAATGTGAAATGAATCTGAATCCATATGGCGGCAATGGTCGTGGTTACGTACAAGATTACACAATAGAAGTAGCACACACACACCCACCTTTTGAAATGAAATATTGATCTACTATAAACACTACTTTCAAGAGTTGTCTATATTATCTTTTCATGTATAAGCCAGTCCCAGGCCAATCCTCCTCAGTCGTACACAGCCGTATACCAACCATATACGGCGAATAACGGCAACTGTTCGCGTTAGCCATTTACGGCAATCGTAAACGATGCTTTATGCTGTAATACGCTCATTGTAAACAATGATCGGTAAAAGTTGCCGTTAACGACTACCGTAACTATACGGCGAGCGTATACGTGCAAAAGATAAAAAGCTGTAAAGCACCGTATATGCTACCTGTTTGCGGCAGCCGTATCCAGCAGTCGTAAACAACCGTTTTCCTAGTGCTACGCCCATCACAAACGACTAGCGTAAAAACCCACCGTTTACGGCCGCCGATAAATTACATCGGCTCTAAGCAATAATCCGGCCATTTCAACTGACCAATCAGATTTCGAGATGATATTTCTCAGCTATACAAAAGCTGCACACCAACACATATAACCCTCATTCAAAACAGCGTCCTCAATAACCCTAGCATCAGCCCGAACATGACTATGTGTTGCCCGTCTAATAAGAAAGATAGGCCCTCCTAAAATCTGATTGGTCGATTTTTCGACCAATTAGGTTTGAGATAAAGTCACTATTCATTCACCGATTTGTTCTGTCCCACAGATGTGTATATATGTATCGGTAGGTCGTTGAGGCCATTATCACACCATCAACTTTGCCGTTAGGTAAGTACTTCCCATAATCCTTAGTCCTGGAGCCCCATTTTCAAAAAAAAAATTTTTTTTCAAAACCCAACATTTTTTCGAATAAAAGTTTTTTACAAAAAAATTTTGGGTGTTTTGAAAAAAAATTATTTTTTGTCAAAAAGTCTGCTTCTGCAAAAACAAATTTTTTTTTCAAGTAAGACTTCAGGGACACTGGATAGACCCTGCTGAAAAAGGCGACCGCGAGCTGGCTTGTTTTACCGCGTTTCCTCTGTCATATACTGCGACCGTGTGTCGCCGTTTACGGCACGGCGATTTACGGCCGTAATACGGTGCATAGAAATACGGCGTAAATACGGCCGTGTTGCGGTCGTATTTACGCCGTATACGGTCGTATCTAGGCGTCGTAATGCTTAATCTGGAATATATGTGGATCCTCTATTTCTGCGAAACGATCGTATACGGCCGTGTACGATTATATTACGACCGTATACGCTGACGTATATGGCCGTGTGTGCCTTAAATTGTTCCGTGTCACGGTGCAAATATGGCCGTTTACTGTTGTCGTATTCCGCCGTTTATGGCATGGCGAAATACGGCGCATAGAAATACGGCCGTATTTTCGCCGTATACGTCGTAAGCGGCCGTATACGGTCGTAATGTTCGACCTGGGGTGTTCTAAAAAGTCCGAACATGCTCGAAAAGAATTTAACTGAGTTTTAAAACAATTATTTGTATGCAGCGAATTCACTTTAAAACTCTCAATTGCATGGCTCACAGCCGCACAAACTCACGCCAAAATGAAAGGTCGAAGTGTGTCATACGTGTGGATATGGGTGTGAGAGTGGGGATGTGTGAGTGTGACCTTTTCTTCTGAGGCATCCACGCCCACACACACAAAACGCTCTAACGAAATTATCTCTGCATTTCTCTACATATTATTTTATTGCGCACATAACTACAATCCAAATTTCTTCAACAAGAAGTCGGTTGCTAACAAGTAAAGGTGGAGAGTAACAGACGGAACTTGTCTTTTGGTCATGAGTTGCGTTGGCCTGTTCCTGATTAATTTATGCACGCTTTTGTTTCGTCGATTTTCGACGCAGTGGGCTTGACACTTTTTTGAGTTGAAATGAGTACCGTTTCTTCACTACATTACTTACAGTCTGTCCTCCAACCACTGCTTTCATTCTTGTTGTTTTTCGATTTTACCTTTATTAACATGAAGAAAAGATGAAACTTAAGTAAAGCGAAAAAGTACGTAGAATCATATTGAAAGGTGTTCATATTATAGGGTCCCAAGTGCATTAGATTGTTTAGTGAATCAACATAATGTGAAAAGTCGTCTCGAGATTCAGTCAATCAATTAGAAAATTTTCAAAGCAACCTGATGTTTTTTTTTATAATCTTAATCATTACCACTGCTGTTACTTGTTTTTACCGTTCTTTCCGTCGTTCTCTTTTGTAATTTTGTTTTGTATTAGAAAGGTATCGTTACTCACCATGCAGAATCCATAGCACAGAGGAGGAGGACTGAAAATAAGCAGCACAAGTGAGCAACATCATGAAAAAGAATAGCACTTAAGAAAAAGCATCGGTTGAAAAAAAACGCAGCCACTTTTACACAGTAACTCATCTGTAACACACTCGACCATTTAACAAACCACAACGATCATCAAAAGTTGAAGGCTGAATTTAAGCGTAAGTAGACTGCCAGTATCATTGTTTTTTTCTTCATTCTGTTGCAAAAGATAGTCAATATTCACATTTTCAGAGAGAAAAATACCGACGACCGAATTCACCAATAGAGAGGATAGAAAATTGAATAAGCAAATACAATTTTTGTTTTTCGGTTGCATATAATTCTATTTATTGCAATGTAGCGACAATCAAAAGGTATAACAACAGAAATCATAGGTAGGCATAAGAATTACGCTCCTTACAGTGAAAAACACATTTTCGATGGAAAATAATTTTTTTCCATTTTCTTGGAACAGAAAATAAATGAAACTAGAAAGTCTATATTGAAGCATGATTGGTTTTAAATGTACATTGTTTTCATGAAAGAAGAGAAAATACAGTTCGCATGGAAAGTTTCACTTATGATATCATAGTGGCCATGCGTAAAATAAAAAAAGGAGTCAACTTTCGTCGTAGACAGGCATGCCATGGGTCTCTTCCTGCTGAATCTCTATTTTGACTTATCAAGTATTTTAGTTTATTGAGTACGGATGTGACATTTTATTTTGTGCATCCAAATCTTCAAGATGCCAGTATTCAATGAATCTAAGTACTTTTCTCTCAATCACCTTGAATAGAATATAGAAGTATGGACGTTGAAATATCTTGCTGATTCTGCTCACTTACATGTGTACTTCTCTCTTATCTATATTTCTAACGATTTCAGAAAAGTGTTTTGAGAATATTGAGTTTTTTAGCATAGAGCCATAATTTTATTGGAAAGGTCGGTCAAAATTAGATGTAAATTTTATCCGAACTAATTATTTGAAACCTATTCCAGCGATAAGAAACGAAAGTCGAGGTTGTTGCAGTCCGAAAAATAGCTTTTGGAAGATGAAAGCTGATTTTTTTAATAAAAATGAACGTATATGAAATCACTCAGAAGTCTATATCTTTGACAATAAAACATCCTCATCATTTTTTACAGTTCTTAACAATAATAACATCAGGATTTCAAAAAACTCGAGCATTTTGTTTTTACATCTTTACATTTTTTGTTATTAGACATTCTAAATTTATGGAATTTCCCACTAAAACAAAGCGAGAATGACAAATGGGAGCCTCTGTTATATCGATGAGATCGCAAGCTGTAGGTTCTAAAATTACAGTTTAAATTACATAGTAAGAACTCCATCCTTATGAAAAAGCACTAAAATATGCGATGGAAATAACTGTTAAACGTATGTTTTAGGAAGTTCATATTTGAGTAAAACATGGTGGATGTTGGTCTAGTTTCAAGCAAAATAAGGCCCGTCGGATATTGCTATAATTTACATAAGCCAACAACAATCTACAGTTCTAGGTTGTTTGGACGGGTATAGAGATCTTCGTTTCTCGACCTTTTAAATTGGTTCACATTTGATTTGGCTACAGATATATCTAAACTAAGAATCAACCATATGTTTTGGTGAGTTGTCTTTCAATTTATCAGGTATTGCTGTCAAAATAGGTAAAAAGCAGTTAATATAAAGTAATACATGAAGGGATTGGCGCATTATTCTACAAATCATACCTAATTCACAATAGTTCGAAGAAAA